AAAACACTTAGCCCTACACAAAATGAAATATTGTCTGATACCTAGGCCTTTTCATAAGCAAGTGGAAATAAATGTAATTATGATAGGCAGAGAGAAAAATCAATGTTTTGATTTGAAAATTAGTCTTTTCTAGATTGTTTTTTCTGGCTGAGACAATCTGACAGCATTTTATGACATATTTTGATCTGCTTGAAATTGTCTCTCACTCTTATTTCTTCCTTTTTTTTTAACCAAAAAGTTGTATTTTTGGCTGAAAATTTTTACTGTATCCAGAAAGGGAAATTGTTCTGTCAAGGGTATTGTAAAAGGCCCTGTGTTTCATTGCCTTTTAATGGAACCTTAATAGAAGTTGGCAGTGCAGATGACGAAGCTGGAAGGCTGCAGTGAAATTTGAACAATCAGAAATTGTTCAGAGGTTCATGACCATGAGAGAGCCCTTGAAGCCCATAACTGTTCACTGGGCCATAAAAGTGGCTGATCTCATTTCTTCCCATCACGTCCCATCCTCAGCAGAAACTCTCACAACTGCAAGGAGCCCATGAGGGACCATGATATGGCTGTTGATTTTAGATGGAAGATGTGCAGATACTGCAGTGAGGATGGGAAGGATCAGCTTCACCAAAAAAAAAAACAACAAACCATTGAAATCTGGAAAAGCTCTTGAGCCTGTGAAGGAGAGGATAAATTTAATCAATGTCAATGTTCCTGCTGATTCAGAAAAGCCTGACTATGCATTAAGCTGTAATGACCTCTGGCAGACTTTTAATTTAGATGTGAGCATTTTAACTTCCTTTGTAATGAGGAGCATGGCTTCTAAATCCTTTGAAACAGTTGCATCTGAATGGGTTTATGCCACTTGCAGCTCACATTGCACCCACTGGAAGTTCCTTGGCCTTTTGCTGGAGTATTCCTGAAACCAGAGGTAGAAGAAATATTCCTCAGGGATGACACTACCTGGGCTGGTGCTTCTCTTGCTCTCCTGCACTGGTTATTTGTTTCTCTTCATTGCTGCTACATATCAAAAGGCTTTTAGCTCTTAGTCTATTGGTTTGTCTATTGCAGAGCTTTTAATAATGTTATTTCCTGGTAGTGAATGCTGAACTTGGTCTAGGGGGACCTGTTTGTAGCATAGTTTTCTGCAATTTCCCAAAATTTACACAGCAATACCCAGCCTATTATATGGGGCATAGTATGTAATTACAGGCATAACATATTAGGTCCTAATAACAGCAAATATATCATTACACAAATCATTCATGTTCCTGTACTGATATTTTTATATGGAGCCAGTGAATACAATTACTAATAATGACAATACCCATCTTACAGCTGCAGTGTAATTGGTGCCACCGTGACATAAAGCAGGGCAGGGGCAGGAGTAAGGAAACTGCCACTGAAATATGGTTGAGTCCATGAAATACCAAGGTCCAAAATACCAATATTTTGGTAAAATGAAATACCAATACGTCCAAAAACCAAGGTGGAAGCCCTCTCTTTATAATTTATATATGAGAATTTGATTCATTAACACCCAGTAAGAAGGTCCCACATTTTCTTGCTTAGATGATGGATCTCCTAGTTATTTATGGGAAAGGGAGATGGTTTTCAAGACCCCAGAGTTGTGGAGGGAGGGAAGGAATCCTATAAATGCAACAGTAAAGAGAGTTGAGGCAGCAGGTCACCAGTGAGCTGTGCACATGATGTGTCTCACCTTCCAGCTTGGAAAAGCTGGGCTCAGCCCAGGATTTGTAATAAAAGTTCTTTGAGTCACGATAGACCTCCCCTAAAAGGTGATCCCAGCCAAAGGTATGTAACTTGTAGGGAGAAGGTGTTAGTGCTGGCATCTGTCAGACAGCCCTGGGTGGGAATTAAGGACACTGAAGGGGTTCAAGGCCAGTCCTGACCTTTGCATGCAGCTCTGTGAGGGATTTGTGTTCATACATGTGGGTTTATGAGGATTTATGAGTGATTTGGGTTGATGCACATTGGTTAATGGGTTGGTAAAGCACTGCTGTCCCAGCACTCCAAGATGCACCCTTGGCACGAGGGCAGCTTGGTGGAAGGTAGAAACAATGGAGATTTCTTTTTCCTGTACTACTATATCAAAAAGTTCAGGCAGTGACTTTTGTTTCAACATCTACATATTTATATCTGCTGCATAGTTTAGGCTGAAATTTGTTTCCTTTGCTGACAGGTTAACCTGCTTTCTGGGGTCTGTCTGCAGCAGCCCACCAGCACCTTTGCCAACACTAACCTGAATTTACAATGCTGAGCCCCCATTTTCCACAGCAGCAGGACAAGGGTCAGCCACTCTCATTCTGTTCAGGTCTCCAGAGCACTTCAAAGTGACAACAGGAGGAGAAAAAACCAATAGGCTTGGGTCTGCCCTGAGGTATATCCATGGTTGGGAGTTATTAACAGGAGCTAGTTTGTATTTGGCCACCTCGGTTTGGGCAGAAAGTTTCTGCTTTGGCAGCCTATATTGGTATGGAAATATCCCAGTTGGAGCAGAGATGATGAATGGGAAACATGGCAGCCAGAACCAGCCTACCAAAGTGATTTTACTCAGCCATGCAAAGACTGCTGGGTTAGCTGGAGTGGGAGTATTTCTGTTGATGTGGGGCAGAGGGAGGAGAAGCTCAGCTGAGCCTGGTGAGGGTTGCTGTGCAAATGTGGTTGTGCTGGTCTAGAAATCATATAATCATAGAATATCCTGAACTGGGGAGGACCCACAAGGACCATCAAAGCTCAACTCCCAACCCTACACAGGAGAAGCCCAAAAATCACACGGTGTGTCTGACAGTGTTACCTCAACACGCCTCAAACTCTGTCAGGCTTGGTGCTGTGGCCACTTTGCTGGGGAGCCTGTTCCAGTGCCCAGCACCTTCTGGGTACAGTTCATTTTCTTCATATCCAACCTAAACATCCCCTGACACAGCTTCATGCTGTTCCTTCAGGTCCTAATGGTTACATCCAACATTGAAAGCCACTTTGAGCTCAGTGTTCAAGGATAGAAATGGTAAAAAAAGGTCATATTACTCCCCTGCATCTCTACTAACCCCACCAACCACGAGCAACAGGAAACCCTCAAAATAAAGGAATGTGGCTTTATGGGGCTGTTTATTCCACACATTTGGGACTTCATAGACTTCCTTTCAAGCCCTGGTGTTATATAAGTGGTGATACAAAACCTGGCTTGAAAAAGTTTGGATTTAAAGGTGTCTGCAGGACAGAGCTCCTTGTGCAAGAAGGACTTGGCAGCTGCAAGGACATTATTTAACAAGCAGGTAAAAGGTGACTGCTGCGGCAAATCTTGTGCAGGACTTCAAACAAGTCTGGCAGTGTTGTCACTTTTATAAGAGGATCCTTTGGTATCTTTTGGTTTGGTATCAACTTAGCCACTGAATTCCTTCAGCAATTGCTAGGTCAGAATTAAGGGGAAGAGCTGATGCCCTTCACCCACCACAACTGGCACCTCTGCAGTGGATGCAGTATGAGCAGTGGGTGCAGTGCTTTGCTAGGAAAGGTTACTGTGTTGGTGTGTGATTTCTGATTGAATATAGCATCTGGGTCTAATGTGGCATTCAGCATCTGTGAAAAACCCGAATATCTCCCCTTTACATAGCGAACATCATCTCCCTCCAGTCCCATGGTGGGTCAGGGGCAGCTGAGCAGAGCTGTCATCCTTTGTGGGGGCTGTGTTTCCAAGGCTCCTGTGCCCTCCCATCCAGTACGTGGAGCTGGGAGTCGGCGCCAACTGGGAGCAAAGGTTTTGGCTCTGCTGACCCCAGGGAGGTGACAGCACGAGGGCTGTTTTGCTTTTCCAGCATGATAACAAACATAATTCCCTTGTTATCTTCAGAGGGAGAGACCTCTCGGGGAGGGCAGGAGTGAGGCAAGGTCAGCACTGTACCTCAGCTGACACCACTGCCCATGAAAACCTCCATGACAGTGCCCCAACTCACATGTTTGCCACCCTTAGGTAAACATTTATCCTTCTTGTTGTTGTCAGGGCTGGTTGGTGGAGCTGGGCTGAGATGCAGGGGCAGTGGCAGGGGTGGCATTGCTGCTCCTCTCACCTTGCCTGACCTCCCTGTGATTCAAAAGCACCCACACAGCCTCTTCAGAGCCTCGCTCACTTAAATCAGGCAAACCAGTTTATTTTTTTAGCTTTTAGGGACTTTCGCTCTGCCATCATGTACTGGAAGGTGGGAATAGCAGGGAATATTTAAGGAAAGTGAATCTGGGAATTTTTAAATGAGCAACATAACCCCAAGGATTAATATTTCCCTAATCAGGGGGACAAAAAATACTGTGTGACCTCAAGCCCCAGTTGCAACCCAGTGATGCTGTCCAGCTTGTGACTTACGTATTTGCAGCAAATTCCTTATCTATAACGGGCATTGAAAGGAAAAAAAAGGGTAAATAAAGCCTATCAGCAGTATTGTATCGTTGACTCACCCTGCAGACCTTGCTTTACTGATAATTATTAACTCAAATGGAGAGCCATTGCAGAACTCATAACTAAAATATGATGGTACTTCTCAAATTAAAAATGCTCAGTGAATGCTTCACTCTGCTCAAAGAAAGAAATGCCCACAGGGTTTCTTGTGTGTACCAGGACAACTTGGGGTTGTCCCCATTACTCTTGCTCAAAACCCACATGGGAGAATTACAGCATGGCCATTGCAAAACCTACTGCTCTCCCTTTAGGTTATCTTGTGAGGCTGTTTTGTTGGTTTTTTTTCCTACTGCCTTCCATTTCCCTTTTTCTCACTGTTTTCTCTGGCCAGGCCACACACACAAGGTCCAGTTGCTTGCTGGTTCTTGAAAGCAAATGCACTTTAAACCCAGTCCTTTGACATGAGTGCAAACAGCCCTGGAGCATTTCCCGCAGTCAGTGAGCTCAGCCCCTCTCCCCATTATAAACTAAAAAGTTGGCTTTAATGTATATCATAAAAGACATTGTTAAAAACTGTGCTTTAATAAAGAAATACAAATGACAATCTAAAAATGTATTTTATTGGGCTGCTAATAATGACCAGCGGTGAGAGTGGAGGGGGGAGCAATATAATGAGCTCCTGGGAGGGGTTTTGGACACAGCTGTCCCACGTGCCCCAGAAATCTGGTAGAAGACATCTCGAGCTCACTGGGAGCCAGGGGACTTGGCATTGAGCAGCCTGGCACCCCAGACTCAGGCTTTGCACAGCAGCTCCCAGCTTGGGGCTCACCAGCCAATTGCTCAGCTTGGGAAATAAACAGGCAGGCACTGAGGAGTTCAAGTTTTGTGTATTCACGTCAGTAAAACAGAGACTATTCCCTCCCTTGCCCAGTGACTCTGGCCTGCCCCATCCCCTCTCCTGCCCCGGTGCCTGGCAGTGCTTGGCCAGACCCACGCTGGAGTAAGTCAGACACACGGGAACCTGATTCACACTGAGTGCCAGGATGTGAATCTGGCCTCACAAGTAATATTTCCCCTTGAGATTAACAAAACATGTTAATCTTCTTGGTTTGGAAACTCATATTTTTTTACTTGAACACAGAGCTCTGTCCCTCCATCATTAGCAGATGTCGTGCATACGAACTGCATTACCTATAAAGTCTGCTTACTCCAAGCAAATGTTTCTCCATCTCTTCTCTTTTTTTTTTTTTTACTTCAATTTGAAGTGAAAGGTACAGTATAGGATTCAAATGCTTTTGCATTACATGGGTTTCTGACCACTTGAAAAACCCCATGGAAAAAACGACTTCACAAACCTGAAACACTGGCTGAATTTTGCTTCACTTCTTTCTGCCTGGCTGAACTTTCTTATGATTTCTTTTTTCTCTCTCTCTCTCTCTCTCTTTTTGCTTTACATGGCACTTTGCTTTTGCTTAATTTTATTTCTTTATTAAAAAAAAAAAAATCATAGCTCCTGTTTCAGCTCTCACTTCATTTCAGTATTTCTACCCTGTGGACGTGTCACACAGGAAGGAAAATCAGGAAATTGCCCAAAAGGCAGAACTACAGAGTAGCTCAAAGGAAGAAGCAAATCTGAACGCCAAAGCATGGTTTGGTGCTGTCCCATCTCTTGCACACACCAAATGCTGGCTCCAGGGCTGCAGGCAGGGAAGTGCAGGCTGAAGAAATAAGAGGTAACTCACAGAAGGGTACAGAAATTGGGCTTTGTCACCGACAGCTGGCTGGCCTGCTTGCCACGATCTGAATGGCTCCTCTGACTTTTCTTTGGCTCAAAGATTTAACATTAAGGCAAAAATAAGACACAGTGTAGAAGCTCCATCAAATCTTTGGCACAACAGCAACAACAACAACAACAACAAAAAATTACTGTACACATGAGCTGAGAGGGTAACATTTCCCAGTTAAGCAAAGGGAAAAGTGCTAAATAAATTGCACGTACGAAAAGGTGGCTGGCTTAACAACAATAAGAAGCATCCCTGTCCTTTCGTTTTTCCTTTTCTTTTCCTTTTTTCCTTTCTGTTCCAGAGATTAAGAAAGTTCCTTCGCCAATCGTCATCTCCAATAGGGGTTTCTGCAAAAAAGCTGCTTTCAGTCTTCATCTGGATCGTGCAATCTTTGCCAAGACCAGATGTAACTCTGGCTGGAAGCTCTTCTGAATCCTCCCTTCCTGGTTATTACTCCTGGAAAGAGAGAGATGCACCATGAGAACAGGGAACACATGGTGTCCCTTGCATGGACTGTTGCTGACGCACGCGGGACCATCCTTGGGGACTGCTGGCCATGGATCTGCAATTTTCAAGAGTTGGGCTCACAGTGGAACCATCTGTAGGTGCCACAATGGAGGCCAGAGCCTGCACAGAGGAGAGGGAGTGGCAGACAGGAAGAGAAAGGCTTGGGGAAGAAAAACAACACAGTAATTTGGTGTTGGGTCCAAGTCCTGCTGAAAAAAAAATAGAAATGATGGCAAATACCTGGTATTTTCAGGGCAGGAGCTGATCTCAGAAAGAAAAAGAGTTGCAACTAGATGGGTTTTTGCAGGAGATGGGCTTTCCTTCCACATTTTAGTTGTTGTATTGAGTTTTCTGCAGGCATGGCTACTCAGTCTGTGGGACTGCAACTTGTCCCATGTGTCTGTGCATTCCCCTGTGAGTCACAGCTGTGGCAGATTACTTGGGAAATTACACTGGGCTACAGAATATTATGGCCAGGTCCATAGGAAAATTGTCAACTCCAAACCATGGCAGCTTTAGACAAGGAAATCTCATCTAAACCCCCTTCAGCATTAAAATAAACCCCACAAATATCGCACAAACAATCGTTAACATAGTTCAAAACAGAGAAAAATCCTCAGGGCCTGAGGATTTCATGAGATCACGTCTCTATTGTTCAAACTGCCTTCATCACGTGGGTTCTAAATCCTCTTTTAAATAACTTAGGAATTAGAAACTTGGAAATGAGATCACATTTTGCTAGTGCTACCAGCATTTCTTGCTTTTTGCCAGTGGATTTAAGAACCTTTCAGGGTGCAGTACAGCTTCTGAAAGTCCTTTGGACACAGTCGCCAATCCCCTGAATAGGTCAGCCATATTTCTGTCAGTCTTAACAAGGTCAAACTCCTTAAAACCTGGCCTCAAAAGCTTTCTTCCCCACTCTGTTTTGTTTTTGTACTGCCTCTCCTTTTCCATCAATGGATATTGTAACATCAGAGTATAAAATACTAGTAACCTACTGGTATTTATTTGATTTATGACTATCATTAGGGCAGCTGCTGTGAGATCAATGATTACAGCTGATCATCCATGACAGGCTAAGGGACAGGGGAACCTAAAATCCACCTTTTCACCCCCTCCATTCAAGTGCAGACCAGGGAAGCTCAGGACGGCTCCAGGACCATCAAGGTTTCTCTTGATAAGAATACTTCACTAAAAGCACCCAGGTCATCCTCCATGCAATAAATGCTGGTGTCTGCTGGACCTCTGGGGTTGTCTCTGGACAATCCTACCTAGTGCTGCTCAGAGAAAATAGAAAAACTTGCTCTAGTTCAAGGCCTTATTTGGGATTTTGAATAAATGAGGTTCAGGTGGGAGAATGACAAACAGCCTTGTGTATTGCCAACTTTTCTGTTGGGACCCTTCAACAGTATATAATATATATAAATAACCTGTAGTAGAAAAGTTGGTTGTTTTAATTTATCCCACATTTACCTATGGAAAGAAAATGTAAAAGAAGGGAAGCGATGACTGCTCTCATTAATTTTAAAAGACAGCAGAGAGATCAAAAGCATTTGTGGGTTTGGGAAGGCAGGATGGCTTTAGGAAGAGGAGTCTCAGGGCCAGATCTCTGCTCTGAAGTCTCTGCAATTGGGGAAGATCAACCATGGGGGCCAAGAGGGAATATGCACAAACCAGGCAAGGGCATTTGTGCTGTACCTTCCAGACACAGGAGATGGAAAGGGGAATGGGGAGATCCCCCTGCAACACAATGGAGATGCTCAGCACACCTCACTGGCACCATTTGATCGGTCCCCAGGCACTTCCCAATGCTTGGCCATGGGTTATGTTTGGTGGCTTTTGTTTCCCCCTCCACCCTTTTTCACTCAGCCAGGAGCTCTGAAGACAGATTTATGAGCCTGGGTCTGCTTTAAACTAATAACATCAGAACTCCCATGGCTCTTGAATTTGACAACTGGCCCAATGACCTTGGTGAGTTTGCAGCATCCTGGAGCATTTCAATCTCCATAAATCAAAGCACTTCTGGAATTGAGTCAGCCTTTGTTCCAGGGCTTCTCCTGTCTCTTCTACTCACATCTTCCTCTTGCTGCAGTTACCCAATATGTGTGGGGTGGATCTTACCCTATTCTTGGCAACACCCTTGCTCCAAAGGGGATGGACCCTATGCTGGGATCCTGCTCCCACCATGGGAGCAAATCCCTGGTCCCATCCCTGTGTTGTGATGTGGCTGTTCCAACACCCTTTAAAGGAAAGGGGTTTTTGGGGTGCTGTGATGCAACGGGGGAGTCCCACATCACATCCTTTTGTAAGGAAAAGCTTTGGGCCCTGCTCTTTGGGGTACTGATGCTCAGTGCCCCAGTGGGCTGATGGAGGGTGTGCAGTGCCTTTGGGGATGCCCCTGGGGTAGCTGCTGCTGCCTCCCTCTCCAGAGTTGGGTGATCTTGCCCATGAACTTGTCACAAACCTTAGGACCCGTGCCCCACCTGCAAGCCTTGTTTTGGGCTGCAGGGACATACAAGACACAAGTGATAAGCAAATTAATCTCACTGCCTTGTTTTTAACCAGGTCCCTGGGGTGGGTAATCCTTCAACCAGCATGCAGCAGGGATAACTCATGGCCAGGCAGACCCAGGTCCCCTCTGTCCCCCCAGGGATGCTGTCCCATGGCAGATGGACAGATGGACAGGCAGCTCGCTGCTCTCCTGTGGTCCAGCTCCTCCCTGGAGCCCGCGGAGCTGGCGGCCGTGGGGATCAGACTGGCTGGCTGCCCGCTCTCGCCGGCAAGTCCTAGCAGGGAAATGAAGCTATTTTTAAAGAGGAACCTCTGCTAAGTCAAACTGCAGGGGAAAGGGAGGTCGAATCTCATTATGAGACCCCCCTCCTCCCCACACAGGATGGGAAGCCACGAGGAAGAAATGCCATGCGGATCATCAAGGTTTTACTGTGTTGGCTCTGAATGGTTCTGATAATCAATATCAGATGATCAATAACAGCAAGACCCTGCAGCCAGGATCATCCACACAAACCAGGGGGTGGCAGCTGTGGCTTTATCTCGGGGCTTTGTCTAAATAAATCACGAGTCATGATACGGTGTTATCAAAAAAATATGCTCCAAGCAAATGGTTTCAGTGCTGTACAAATCAAGTCTGCCACTACCATTTCTCTTTTATAATATAAACCCTTAACTTGTTCACTCCTGCAAGTAAATACGGCTGCAGAACGCCCTCCTTCCAATTTTTTCAGTGGGAATAAGTGTTACCTACAGCAGGAGCTCTGCTTTTAGCAAAGTAGAAATAAGGGGGCATCAAGGCATGGCACAACACCACAATAACTATTTTATATAATGCAATAATTACATACATAGTGTCAGCCCTTTTAGTGCAGCAGGCTGCAAGAAACAGAAAAGCTTTTCATTCCATATATGTTTCTATATAATTTAATTATCTGGGAAAAGATATATGTACAGCGTATTTTTAATTTTTAATTCCTTGTGTCTGTGCTCATCCACACACACAGGCACAAAAAACAAGAAACTAAATTCCAGCCGAAAACTTTTATTGAGCTCCAACTGCTCGCCTGTTATTCATAACCCAGTTTCCTCTCTCACAAAGAGACCTTTCGCATGTTTTTTTTTTTTTTTTAATGTGTGAGTGTGTTTTTTTTTTTTTTTCTTTTTTTTTTCCCCCTTCTGCCTCGCTAACAGCTGCTCGCAGTGTTGTATCCTGAGTGATGATGAGGTTCTGAAAGTGTTTTTTTGGAACAGATGGCCAGGAGAGAGCTGGGGAATGTGCCAGCAGCGAGCTGGGGAATGCGCCAAGTCCTGCAGTGACTGAGTACTCCGGGTTCCAGCTCGCGTGCCTTTCCCCTGCCCTCTGCCCCAAGTGGCGCCAGCAGGACTTCCCAGCTCGCGCTCCGAACATCTGGAGTCTGCGACTGCCAGAAGAGCCGGGACGGGGGGAGGATGAAGCAGAGAGAGAAAAAAAATCCCTCACCCATCCCTCCCTGCTCGGGCTGAGCTCCCGTGGCCACGGCGATGTTGCTGCCTAGCACGGGGGGCTAAGCAAAAGCAACGAGGGGAACCTTGCCGTGGGTGTTTGGGGTGTGCTGTCCGCCCTTGGATCCTGCTCTGTGTATACTGAGCGACTGTGGTTGTGCTGATTGCTGGGGAAATAAGTTCTGCCCCACAGCTTTGGGGCCAGAGGTTTAGGGGGCTGTGATGCACAGCTCTGCACCCCTACAAATGTCAGTCTCCAGGGAGAGCCCCCAGCCATGCACCCTCACAGCCTTGTCCCGACCCTCATCTGCTTCCCTGCAGGGCACCAGAATTCAGCCCTCTGGGGGAAAAACTGGAAAAAAGGGAGAGTGGGACCAGCAAGCTGGACCCCAAACACTACAGATCCCTGTGAGGCTTTCAGATAACCCCTGGCCACTGAGGATCATGTGCCATGCAGAAACAGGGCACCTTGGCAGTAAGGAAAACTTGGATTTCCCTTTCCCTTGCTGTTGCATCCTCTGTACTCCTGGCTGGAGCTGAAGGCAGATCCCCCCTCCTTTTTCCAGGACATCAGTGTGGCCCCAGCAGGACTTGGGGCTCTGCTGAGGGTGTTGCAACCCAGATCTCCAACATGGTGAAACTCTTGGGTGCACTGTTAAGGACAAGGCTCAGTCCAGATAATTTATAACCAAGCAAGAGGCAGCTTTAAAGAATGAAAACTATCATCAGAATTCACCACCACCACCCCCCCACAGTCAACTTTTTTTCTTCTTTTTTAAGAAAAGGCATCTGCAGCCTCCTTTGTTGCTTATAAATGAGATCTCCCATCAGCAAACACCCTTGGTTAAGTCTCAATTGCAATAACTAAAATCACCTTATAACTGCAGTTAGGACAGAGAAGGGGATTTTTTTTTTTTTTCCCTAGTCAAATTTGAAAGACTAAAGCCAACTTTTATAATTAAGAAAATGGGAATAGAAGTGGGGTGGGGGGTAAAACCACTCAGTAAATTTCCTATTGCAAAAGCAAAATCTGAACAACATAGTCTTAGGGTCACAAGATAATTCACCCCCTAAAACAAAGCAAAAGGCAATGCACAATCCAGCAAATGCAACATCTGGAGTCTCTGCCTGCCAAAACAAACTCCAACCAGCTACTTTTTTGTGTGAAAAGATCACGGTGCCACAGCACATTGCAACCAGAGAGCTGAGAGAGTGAGAGAGAGGCAGACACACAATAAAATGGAGATGACAGGAGATAAGGGTGGTGTGGACCTAACGTGGAGCTCAAGGAGCGGAGGGCTGTGCTCAGGATCTCTGCGATTTTTTAAAGGGAGAATATAAAAGGAAGCTCAAAAAAAAACCCAGTAACAGAATAACAACCACCCCAAAGTCGATAATTCACAGGAACTGCTCAGTGAGTAGTGGTTTCAGAGACCTGATTAAAAACACACAGAGCTCACAAAAACGTGCCGATTTCAACATTAATGAGGGCGCGGCGATTTTGGGCCAAGCCATCGTATCCTCATCCAGCTGTCCGTGTGAGACCCCCCAGGAGAGACATCCCTTCACACCACCTGATATCCAGAGCTTGGATTGGCACTGCACAGCCATCCCGGATCTGTAACTTCCCTCTGACAACAGCCTTTTCCTCCTCTGTGCTCACGACTTGCTTGGCTCAAGGAAAAAGGGAGACATGCAAGATGAGTCCTCCCAACCCAGGCTTTGCATCCCCACTCCTATCGACTGGGATTTATCAGAGTTACTTAGTGGTACCTGCTGGTTTTGGCTTCACCAGCAGCTGGATGGGGCTCTTGCATTCACCTGAGCAAATACTGCTGGAAATAAAACTGTACTTATCATCCATCAGGGAATCTATGTGGTCTGGGACTGCTCTAAACTTGCAGCAGAACTTTAATTTCCAGCATGACAAGCAAGGCAGAGCAGGGATTAAGACCCTGCCTTGGGTACCAAGCCTGGCTTGCTTTTCTGAGAGGGCTTTTGGAAAAGGTTTAGGGTGGGTGTCCTTCAAGAATGTGGAGAAAGGGCAGATTTTCTCCTGGTGATGCTGTTTCTGTGGTGGGAGGCAGGAGGTGCTCTGGTAGAGTTCCATTGTTCAGGCACTCTTGACTGGCTTGGGGCTTTTCTCCATGCATCCGCTCTGGAGTGAACCACTGTAAATGGAAAGCTTTTAATTCTTAATTTATTTTTTTAATTAAGGACGGGCCCAGCTCTAACCCTCAGATGTGAACACCCTGGGATTTGGAGCCATTCAAAATCTGGCTCCTTGTTTCCTCTCCTTAAGCCTGCATTGGTTTACATAAGCCAAGACAATGGGTCTCAGCCCACTGGGCACCCAAAGCCTGAAGAGCAGCCCAGAAATGTGCTGAAGCCCCATGAAGGATGCTCATCTCTTCTTTCCCTCCATGCTGACTTTGGGAGGGGACCCAAGACCTAACTAGCAATCTACTAAAGCCTCACAAAAGCTCATCCTCTTCTTGACATGGAGAGGGGTTCCAAGACCCAACCATCAACCTGCTGAAGCCCCAAAAATTATGCTTTTCTCCTCCCCCATCTTAACTTGCAGAGGAGACCCAAGAACCAACTCTGATCTTGCCCCAGGGTTGGTAGCACTACTTCACTGTCCCTGGGACATCACTGCCTGTGCACTACAGAGCCCAGCGTGAACCCCCAATTTGGGGCTGTGCCCAGGAGCTGCCCCACACCTCCCAGTCGCAGGCAGTGCTGTCAGCTGTGGGCAAGCAGTGCCGCGTCCCCGCCTGGCACTGCTGCTCCGTGGGCATAAATACTGCCCGTGACAGCCAGAGGAAGCAACAGGGAGTGTGCTATTGTGTTTATTTATAAACTGAATTGCTGCAGGATGATTTGTTGGGCTAAAGAGGAGGAAAAGTGAGGAAACCTGCGGAATCAGAGGCAGATCTTAACAACACCGGGGAAGGAGCCTGCTCCCCAGCTTAGCTGCCCATTCATCCATTAAAATCCTGCTGATTTATTATCCTGCCTGACAAGCAAGCTCAGAGAGCAGGGGGAAGTTCAATTCAAGTTTACAAAACTCTTTTTGTCATAAAAGCCTGAACAAAGACATCAATCACTCCTTTAATTCACCCATGTCACTCTCTGAGAGGAAAACTGGCAGAACGCTCTGCTTCTTCCTCCCGCCGCTTGACGATGATTTCACCTAATTGGTTCAGTGTTAAGTAACCTAAAGGAATGCAAGGCGTAATTAGATTTAACGTTGTTTCCTCAAGATACCCACATGTCCTTCAGGTCATACATCTTACTAATGTGTTTATACATATAATGTCTCCATTAGCTACCTTTTTTTTTGTTGTCGGGTGATTTTTCTCAGAGATAAGTGTGAGATTAAACAAAACAGAAAACACAGGCGGGCGACAGTGTTTTACAGGCTCCAAAAGGCGACTCAAGGTTGGTTTGGTTTAACAAGTAACAGTCCCAAGATGACTCTTAATAGGATCACGCTCGTGTTGAAACACACGATGGGCAACTAACGAGGGGAAGAGCCTGGCGCGGAGGATGGGGAGGAGAGAAAAGCTTTTGATTAGAGAGGAATGTGGTTATTACAAGATCAGATGGATGGAGGAGAAAAAGAGAGAGAGAGAAAGGCGAGGGATAAAAAATCAGGCAAATTTCACAAGGTTTAGAAAGGAAGGAAACCACTTTGGATTTTTTTTTTTTTTTACGTCCCTTTTGTAACTTTTACCATTTTTTAGGGGGTGAGATGGGGGAGAGGCTGTAACATACCTTCCTTTTTTTAGATCTTCCTTCTGCTTGTAAGGTCCTAGTGCACTGCTCCACGCATTCAGAGAAGCTCATGTTACTGTGGTCAGCGCTGTAATCCAGGTCTGCTAGTCTGGCCAGGGAAAGGATATAGTTACAGGCTATTCTCAAGATGGCCAGTTTGGACAACTTTTGACCATAAGAATAGCAGGGAACCTAGAAAGGGTAACAGGGAAAAAGAAATAATTAAAAATTAGGCCAGATAAACAAAATATCTTGCTTGAAGCATGACAAAACAACTGAAAGTTATTTTCCTAGCAGTTTTAACATAAATAGAAACTCCAGTGATAAAATGCCATATGGTCCCAACAGGTTTTTAAGAAGAACTCCCCTGCTGATCTCCATGGGGATGAAAGCAGCATGAAGCCTCTTGATTTCAGCAGGGAAGTTCTGCTTAAAATGTGATGGCAGGATACAGCCCGGGACGTGTGCCTGCTGCTCTGTTCACTTCTTGGAGGCCCTTTTCCTTAGAAACCTGCACCCCCATGCCTCCCAGTAACTTGTCTTGAGTAACTTACTCCCCACAATTAGCTCCCATGTCATCACAGGTCTTGCAGAATAAGGCAATAAGAAGGTACGAGCAACAATGTCACAACCCGTTGTTTTTGTGCTCAAACAACATCAGTTGTGGCTTTCAGCCCGTGAAAAAACACGATGTTGTTGAGTAGCAGGACCTTGATCAGGCAGTAATTTCTACCTGTTTAAACACTCCACAAAAAAGACCAAAACAGAGCCTGTTTCAGGGAGCTGGATGTATCTTACGCAATTTGTTTCTTCACCCATAAAGATTTCTACTGTAATGTGAAACATTTGAACAATTCAAACTAAACTGAATGTGTCTCAATAACTGAGCAGTATATGGTTCTTGGGTTGCTTTTCAATCATGATCTAGAAAAACAGTACATCTACACTCGATATTAGGCATACAACTTTAGTACGTCCAGCTTAAAGAGAGATCTTCTGAATTCGACAGGCTTGGGCACCCCATTTTCTAGTTTGCAAAATTGCTGAAGGTCACTCAGCCTTTAACAAACAAGAGTCTCTTGCCTATGGGAAACTGAAGCTGTGCATTCATCTGAAATCCATCTGAGCCCCTCAGGTTGTCTGACCACCTGTCAAAGTTTTCACAGTCATCAATCATTGGAACACCTCAATGTTTCTCTACCACCTGCCTCCATACCAGTCTCCATTCTCCACACCCCTCTAGAGTGTCACACTCAGCTTAGGGCTGAAGATTTTTGTTTTCTCTTGCCATGCTCATGCCTCAGCTTCTCTCTCCTCCACAGGGACACAAAGATGGGATCGCCCCCATCAAGTCAAGGAATGCTCTCCTTGACTTTACAGAAGGTAAAATGGGTTCAGCCCCTCCACAAACCCCACAGCAGCCATAGATGCCAAAGGAGGAGCAGAACAGCTCAGGCATATATAGGATTTTTCCAAGTATTCTGTCAGGTTCCAGCTACCATCACCTCCATCACTTCAACTAGATGTGCCATCCCCAAATTTAACAACCCATGATAGATCTTTTCTGCCCATAAGCTTGGTCTGGCAAGATGAACCAATCCTGTTGATTTTGAGCAGCCACAACATCTTTTTGCAAAGCATTCTCTCCAGTCTACATAAATTTTTTTCTGTTTTTGCTTGTTTTGAACTTGGCTCCTACTGTCTTCCCTTGAGGTACTACAGTTCTGTATTAGAAGATAAGACAACAGATATTTATTCACCTCCTGTGTGACATATGTTTTTTAGTTCACCATCAACTCTTCAAACTCTTTTCCAAAAGAAAAATATTAATCCTCCTTAGCAGACAGTTCTATGGAAGCCATCCCATATCTTTGATGACCCCTGTTGCTCCTTCCTGAACCTTTCCTAGTCCCTTTGGAGATGATCAGAACACAAAGTGTTCATGTTGTGCACATATCTAACATATGCTTATGATCTCTGTTTTCTTTAATATTCCTTTCTTCCTAACTCCTTTGATTTGATTTGTGACTGCTGCCAGACACTGACCTGAGACTTTCCTTGAGCCATCTTGAGAAATTCCAAGGTCTCCCTACTCTGAATTAACAGACAGCTCAGGGTCTATCACTTCATATGTGGACTCTGGTAAGGTTTTTTCCATATGCATCACTTCACTTTATCTGTGTGGTATTTATTTCATCGACCATATGATTATCTATTCACTCAGAGCCATGAACTTCAGCACAGCTCACACAGTCACAATTTCAGGTGGTGGAACCTGACATTCCCTGTTTAAAGCAGAGCTAAGCTCAGAATCAGATCATAGTTTGTCCTCTCATGATGTGCCTCCTTGTAGGAACTGGCCTTTTTCCCCTACCTACCATTCCTTGCCTCTACACTAATCCAGACTCCCATCAGTGAAGATATTTTTCTAATATCCAATCTAAACCTCCCCTGGCACAACTTGAGGCCATTTCCTCTTGTCCTATCACTTGTTACCTGTAAGAAGAGACCAAATCCCACCTGGTTGCCCCCTCCTGTCACGGAGTTGTGCAGAGCCAGAAGGTCCCCCCAAGCCTCATTTTCTCAGGCTGAATCCCCCAGCTCCCTCAGCTTCTCCCCATCAGACTTGTGCTCCAGATCCTTGTGCAGCTCCACTGCCCTTCTCTGGACCTGCTGCAGTACCTTAATGTCCTTCTTGTAAAGAGGGACCCAAAACTGAACACACGACTGGAGGTGTGATGTGGCTGAGATGTCCCTCCAGAAACCAGCCATAAAACTTCAAATGGCCTTTTTTTAATACACATCATCTACTACTGATACCCCTCAAAATACAAGGAATCACAAATATCTTGGGTTGGGAGGGACCTTTAAACATCACCTAGTCCAAATACTCCCCTGCAATGAGCAGGGACATGGCAGAGAGTCTGCTTAAGAGCCCCTTTTTATCTGAAAAAACCTCTCTTTAAATCCCTGCCTTCGCTTTTTTTGCCAGCATTATGCACCCAGCAATGCCCCTGCCCTCAGTACCTGGTCCCCAGATGCAATGAGCTGAGTTATTTTGAAAGCAAGAGCTTCAGGCAGCAGAAACACCCAAGTTTTTTTCAACGCCAACGCAACGAAAACAGCAGAGACCCCAGATCAAACAGCATCAGGAAAGAACAAAGCAAGATGGAAACTAAAATGGAAAGATTCAGTGAAATGTGGGAGTAATTTCAGAATTAGAGCAAGAAGGAAGTTAAATTGAGTGGAAGGAAAATAGACCATGAAATCCTTGAGGCTGATGCACAGACGCTGTCCAGTTACAACACGAGAAGGCAGGCTAGTGTCTCTTTTCCTCATCTGTTTTGCTCTTTCTTTTGTGTTTTGGGATTTTTCTTTTTTTAAGGAAACAAAAAGAAACAAAACAAAACCCAAAGTATTTTGTAGGACGTGTTTGCTACAAAAGGCAAGGAAGATCTCAGTGCTAACACAGCTGACAGAACCCTCATCTGGGACTACACGGCACTTTTCCCACACTACTGCAGCAGAGTCCAAACTGGAGCTGCCCTCTATGCCCATGGGAAGAGGTTCACCTTGAAGTGCTCAGATATTCCCGTGATGGGTGCAGGGCACCAACATTAAGAGATAAGAGGTTTTTTTCCGTGGTAACAGTGTTAGAAAAACTATTTCATAGGAACCCTCCCTGTCTTGGCTCAGCTCCTGCCATTTTAATGTTTCCTTTTGAATTAAACATGGGAAATTAGGAGAGGAATGAGCCACTTAGTTCAAATCCAGAGCCAAAACTTCCCCAAGTGTGTCTGTGTGTAACTTTGGTATTATCTCTTCTTTAACACAAAGTCTACGGGAAAGAGGGGACAGATTTGTACAAATTGCAGTAAAGGGTGTCAGTGACACACCTGGATGACAAGAAATCTTCAAAATCCAACTTAAAAAAAGAGCGTGTTGTAGAGGTGGGAAAAACGCCTGGGGCTGGTGTGGCCCCGCAGGTGTAACCCTCCCAGCTCCCACAGGTCTCTGGCAAGCAGTAACGTGAGCAGGTATCTGTCATGCTCCTGGCAAGGACCAAACCCTTTCCTTCTGTCACCTTCTTGCTCCCCATGCCTTCAGTGCTTTAATGTCAGCTGAGCAAGTCCATCCAGAGCCAAGGAGAACCAGGCTTGAGTTTCTGGGCATTTAATGAAAATATTTCCCTTATCTGACCTCACTGGTCTCTGCCGAGCAGCAGCACAGCTCACCATCTTGCCTGCAATATTTGCAATGATTAAAAGGAATTAGGAAGGAACTGCAACTGAAATTTCACACCAGTCCTGAGGAATGCAGCTGTCTGCTGGAAGGGCAAGGACAGCAGCACCATCCTCGGCTTCGGGACATCAGCACAGAGTGAGCTGGGATCACAGGAACCAGAGCTGCAGTCAGAGGATGTTTGCAAGTTGTGTCTGCAAAGGGCTCTGCAGAGTCTCATGGGTCTTATCAGTGATCCCCAGGCTGGCAGGAGTTGAAGCAAGGCAAGATGAATGCTCCTGGGACATATTCCTGTGCAGAAGAGCCCTTCTTTGGCAGGAAAATAGAAAGGGATGTGACCTAACAGGTCTGTTCTATCCTTGACGTCTCAGACTCAGAGGCAGCGCCCTTGGAAAACCAGAGATGCTCCCTTTGAAGTCCGTGGGAAGTCTGCCGTGCTCTTGACCTGCAGCCAGCCCTCTCAAGGAGGGCAGGGATCCACTGCAGCTCCCCACAGCATCACTGTCAACCACCAAAGCCAAGGTGGGAGCTGGTTCTGACAGGGCACAGGAGAGGAGGCTGCAGGATGAGTTTGGGGAACAACCAGAGATGGGTGAAAGGGGACAACTGTCACCCTGCCATTTGAGGATACAGTGAGTGTGCTCACTGTGATGGGTCTGCAGGAACAACCAGGAGCATCCCTGCACTTTAGGAGCATTAAGCCAGTTCACATCACTGAGTTTCTGTCTTTGTGGCTCTGTCTTTATAGAATAGATAAAATTTCCATAAACACCCTCTGGACCTGTTCAGATGACATCTGTAAAACCAAGTCTGCCTTTACACTGCATGAAAATGCTGGGGTAAAGAAGGCTGTTGAGTGCTGGGGGTCCAGATGTCTCTTTTACTGTGCTCCAAACGTGATCTAGCAGCACAGACACGCACAGATCCCCTCCACACAAAGGTCACACAGGGCAGAATTGGGCCCCCTGGGCACAGCAGGGAGGATGGGGCAGCTCTAAGGCAGGGTTTGTGATGCAGCACAAGCCAAGCCCTCCTGACAGCTAGTTCCTCAACACGACACAATAAGCTGCTGAGTTTACCTGTCTGCTAATTTGTCTGGTTTGTTTTTATGCTGGGAGTTAAAACACATCAGGGCTCCTCTCCTTGCCCCCCTCCCCCAGGAAAACATTTGGCTGCCTCTCCCCTGCATCCCAACACGCAGCCCAGCGGCGCTGTCTCATTGTTTGTGCTGCGCTTCCTGCCAAAAATATTTCCAGAGGTTCATATAAATGTCCAGTACTTAATAGTTCTGGCTGTTGTACGTCCCTTTCTAACCCAGGGTGAGTCAGACACTTCCTGGGGCTAAGACACCGCGGGGGAACAGTGGCAGGGTGGGCAGCAGGACTGACAGTGTCCCCCTGAGCACAGGGGAAGCCCCTCTCTCATGATCTCAAATTATCTCCAGGCTGGCATCTGCAGAGCTACTGTGGGGGGTGTGTGCATGCCTCATCCCTGAAAGGATGCCTCATCCCAAGGCCAAGCTGGATGTGACTTTGAGTAACCTGGCCTAGTGGAAGGCATGCCATGGCAGTGGGGTTGGAGCTGGATGATCTTTAAAGTTCCTTCCAACCCAAACCCTCTGTGAGTCCATGAGCAAGATCCTTAACAAGCTGAAGGCTTTGCCCAGAAGATCATTGCCTCTATTCAAGATGTAGTGTTTTTGGGAAGGGTTTGGAGCCAGCCTTTTTCCACCCAGCTCTGGGGGTAAAGTGAGCACATATGGTCCTTCTGCTTCTTGCAGGACTCATTTGATGACTTGGTCGGTGTGTTCAGGTTCACCAGCAAGGTGACTTGGCTTCCTTACATTGCTCTCAACAGCTGCAGACCCTAAGTCCTTCCAACATTCCAGGTGGGACAATGATGAATTACACAGCTGTATGATGGAAAAGCCTCCTGGCACATCCTTTCACAGTGCCAGATCCCTTCAGATTGATTCCCAAATATCCCTCCTGCTGCTGCCTGCAGCACAGCAGCAACCAGATCCACCAATGGCTCCTCTGTGCCACTGTGCTCACTATACTGACCAGGACCTTTGGGGCAGCACCCTTGGCTGTGAACCCAGTGAGGCCAGATCCTGCTGTGTGGATATATGGCATGGCTCCCAGGGCACTGTTCTGGAAAGGGCCCCATAGAATCACAGAATAGTTTGAGTTGAAAATGACCTTTAAAGGTCATCTAATCCAGCCCCCCGCAGTGTGCAGGGACATCGTTAACTAGATCAGGTTGCTCAGAGACCTGTCTAGCCTGACCTTGAATGTTTCTAGGGATGGGATATGTATCACCTCTCTGGGCAACCTGTGCCAGTGTTTTACAAGCCTCATTGCAAAAACTTTCTTCCTTGTATCTAGTTTAAATCTACCCTCTTTTAGTTTAAAACCATTATGTCTTGTCCTATGACAACAGGGTGTACTAAAGTTTGTCCTCATTTTCCTTATAGTCCTCCTTTAAGGGGAAGGGGTGAGAGTGCTGAAAAATTCTCCCAGAACCTTCTTTTCTCCAGGCTGAACAATCCCAACTTTCTCAGCCATTCATTTGATCAACTTGGTGGCCTCCTCTGTGCTTGCTCCAGAAGATCCACATCTTTCCTGTCCTGAGGATTCCAGAGCTGGATGCAGCACTGCGGGTGGGACCTCACCAGAGCAGAGTGGAAGAATCACCTTCCCTGACCATCTGTGGTGTCACAGTGTCAGATGTTCCACAGAGCTCTATTCCAGCCAGCAATGGGCAGCTATTCCACACCATGAGGCTGAGAGGCTTTTGTTTTCTCTGCCACCAGAACACAGTGGCAGAAAATGGGCAGCCCTGTGCTACCAATGCAACCCCAGCAATTTAAAAGAAAGCCTCACCCCTGCCTCACCACGGGGAGCAAAGTGCTCAGCCCAGGCCCAAACCCAGCTGAAAAATGCCAACAAGAACAAAAGCAGAACTGCTCAGGCAGGAGCCCCAGTCCTGACCGAGGTGCCTTTGCCTCTCGGGTGGGTCCACGCTGTCAGACAACCCAGCTCCTGGTTCCCTCCCAGCTCCTGGCTCCCCCATCGCTCACATTACAAAAACATGAGTTCACTCCTTGGAGCAAATGAATTGGCTTCCTCCAAACAAAACCTAGGTGTGGTGCTGGGTGAGTTCACCCCAGGAATCTCTTCCAAATGGCAGTCTGGATAATGCTGCCCCAGGCCTGGCTCCACTTCATTTTGGACAGTTGTCCTGCACCTTCTGCAGATGTTTTGCACCCCCAAAGGCTCCTGCACATCCTCAGAGCACACAACACACCCCCTCAGTATCATGCCTGAAAAATACCATATTGCTGGGCTGCTGCAACTCTCTTACCTTATTGCTGGTTCTTTGAACCACTTCCCAAAATAGTAACTAGACAGACAACTACTGGAATTATCAGAGGAGAAATCCCAGGGCTACTGGGCACAGAAAATCTCTGAAAGGGGCTGCCTTCCAGCACTATAGCATGGAAACACTATTTGGGGTGGCAGTTTAGTAGTGGCCATCTGCATCTCTGAGGTTCAAAACCCCTGGTAAATAGGAAAACAAGCTCCAGTGGAGATAATGGCATTATCTCAGCTTGGCCGTGGTGACTCTTCAGTCACCAGCCACTGCTGGACACCACGGGGTTTTGCCTTCCCTTGCTGTCACTGCTGAGCCCCAGGAGCTGTCATGAGCCCGTGGCAGCTGCAAAGGAGCACAACCTCCCACAGCACACACGAGGCTCTGCTTGCATCCCTGCGTGGCACAGGGGACAGTGCAAACCAGGAGCAGGATGGGATCTATTGCTTGGGGAACACACATGGCACAGACCAAAGGAGCTGCAGGCTGGGAACAAAGAGCCTGGGGAGCTTTTCTGCAAGGTACTGAAAAGTGTCCCACCTCCCCTCTGCAGCCCGGAAAGGAATTTGACAGTGGATTAAGGCAGGGAGCAGAGGCTGGATTCAAAGCTTGATGGAGAAAAGCAGACTCTTTTCTCCAATTTCAGTGGGAGCCATAAGAAAACACAGAGGTTAACTGAGGGTGGCTGCAGCAGGCAGAGCAAATACCTCCAACAGAAGCAGGATTTGTAGCAAAGGATAAAATGAGCTAGACAGCAGCCAGGGGAGCAGAAAAGCCCTGTTCTTGGTGACACACAGCCATTGTTTGCAGGATTTTTGTCCTTTTGTTTGGTTTCTCCTTTATTTTCTTTCCTCCTGTGTTGCTTCAGGCTGGTATTTTGTCATCTTCTTTAGCTGTTAAACCACAGGGCCGCCCCACTCTGGGTTCTAAATATCCATCAGTGTCACTTGGGACTGGCAGCAGCCATAGAGATGCTCTGGTTAACGCTGGGTGTTCGGTGGCACCGCACGCTGTGCCTGGAAGATGCTGCTGCATCTCTCCAACAGCCAAACCTTCACCCCCAGAGAGCTCAATGGGTGGCTTGTCTTCAGCAGCTGGGCTTTAAGACATCTTAGGGTTTCCTGCTGGTGGGATCACAGAGGGATGAATGACTGGGAATGGGGCTGGGAGATGCCAGCAGGTGACCAAGGATAGCTTTCAGCCTCCCCACCACACAGAAAGGACACGTCAGTGACACTGGTCACATGCAGGGTCCCGCCTGCAGAGGTGACAAACCACAGCCACCCTTGGGATGACACACAAAGAGGGTGAGCACGGAATGATGCATCTGCAGAACAGCCTCAGCCTCTGCTGGCTTGTGGCTAAAGGCGCCGCTCAAGCCACAGCTCCTGCCTCCATTCACTGCCTGGTTTGTCCCTTCAGACCCCTGCAGACAGTTTGTCCCCACAGCCACAAAATCTCCTCCTATAGCCTTGAGGCTTCTGCTCCTGATGTCCGACCATGCTCCCAGCGGGAGCGAGCAGGGTCTTTTCTGCACTGATTTACCAACAAGCCACAGCAGCCATGTGCATGCCGGCGGCACAAAGTGAAAGGATACTAGTATGTGTGTGGGGAAAACCTCCACTCCAGCAGCTAAAAAGCCCTATAAAACACTAAAGTATCTCCAGAACCCACATGAGTGCAGAGAGCGAGGCTGTCAGCTGCTGAGGCAGAGAATATCCTGGCAACGTGGTGGTGAAAAGATTTAGGAAAAAGCCAATGCACTTCAAGGGAAGATAAATGTCTGCGAACACATTTGCTCCCGGCACAGACTCCAGCTCACTGTGGCTCAATGCATCACTTTCTTCAGGAGGAGCTGGACAGCAGTGCTCCAGAGAGAAACCAGATGTGCAAGCCCAGGCAGGCTCCAGATCAGGAAGGCTGCTGTGGTTGTCTCCATCCATCGAGGGAGAGTTTGCTGCCACCTTAGGGTCTGTCAGCACAGCTGAGGAGCTCGGTCCCAGCTCCTGGGAGTGTAGAATACTGGTTTGCCTGGCTGTCCATGCAGTCTCATGGTGAAGAGCACAATTCCCTTCTGGCCAAGGCCTCCAGCAGAAAACCTGGGGGCTAAGGCCATACTGCAATAAAAGTTACAATGGTTCAGTTTCACAGCTGGGATTTGCTGGAGGATGAGTCTCTTGCTGCCAATAGGAATTTGCAGGCAAAAAAAAAGAGACAGAATTGCGTTGCATGAAGAATGGTTGCTTTGAAGACAGCCAATGTTGTTGTCACATCTTGGTGACAACCTCCAGATGGTTGCACCACTCCATGAATTTGAACACCCACCAGGAAAAGGCTGGGTAGGAGTCTTCACATGGAGGCCAAGATGACCTCAGGTCCTTGTGAACTCAGTGCTATGTCTCTGTCTGCATCAGAGATGTTTGGGTTCACTGACCACCCACCTTGGCAGGGAGAGGAAGATGAAAAGGATGGAAGTGACAACCCACCATGTCACACATGGAGGGTCCTGCAGCAGCTGGGGCAGTGCGAGGACTCGCTGACCAGCACCTGTCAGGGCATTTGAGGGCAGGAGACCAGTGCTCCAGACAGGAGCTGCCCAGGGACACCACAAAGGCAGCAGCAGAAGGACAGCCAAGTGCAGCAGAAGTATCTCAGCACCTCAAAGTGTTTCAGAGCAGGTCAGTGTTTTCCAAGGAGAACTACATTGTTTGCCTCAGGAGTCTGCTGCCAGTGGAAGGATCACTTGGACAAATGATACTTGAGGGACTAAGGGGGAGAAATCTCTTCCAGGCTTAATAGCTGAAGACCACAAGTACCAAGACCAGGGGGAAGGAGTTGTTTCTCAGGAACATCTGCTCTTCAGTCCCACTTCAGTGCTATGGCCGTATAGCAAAGGCAGCAGCTCAATACAGAGCGGGAGAGAAATCCTTGATCCTGGTGGCTGTGACACCAAGGGGTGAACACAATGGCACTGACACGTCTCTCCCAACAGCAGGCAGCTTCCCAGAGCTGGCAGCTGCCCGCCTACCTCCCACCTCTGAGGCAAGCTGGGGACAGCTCAGTCCTCAGGGACATGGTTGGCTTAGCCTCTCCTTGTGCGAAACAACTGTGTTTGGCTCTTCCTCCACCAAGAACTGGGAGAAAAAAAAAAGAACCCACACCCCTTCCTGCCATCTGGAGAGTCAGTCGACACAAGCCAAAACATGTGTGCCATATGTACGCAGCTGTGGAGCGCAGGGCCGCCGCCGCCAGCCCATCTGTCCGGTGTGCTGCGTGCCAGGGGCTCACCCTCGGGTGGGCTGCTGAGACAGGGAGAGTGTCCTGCAGAGAGGCATGACTTCCCTTTCCTCTCCACCTCCTCCTCCTCCTCAGCAAACATGGATGGACTCCCTACAGTGATCCTGCAAGCAATGGGGTTTTATCACACACGTGCCAGTGAGGATGAGTATCTCCACCCATGCATCCGAACAGGGACAGGGATGACACCTGTGGGTGTTGGGTACCAGAGGCTGAGGAAGGCTCCTGCTTCCAGCAGCTCCACATCCAGCACCTGACCCCCACCCAAAGGAGCGTGGGGCCAGGGTCGGCTGTGTGCAAGCACGGAACAATCCCACCGCTCCTCGCCCGCCTGTCTGCAGGGATGTATCAGTTTCAGCGCCTCAGGAAAAGCCTCCCAGCTGCTTAAGAGCCTGATATGTGATGACAAGGAGGGAACAGAGGACTAACCAAGGAACAAGAAAGGAGGCCTGCAGCAGACAGCACACAGGGATTGCCTCTCGCAAGCGGCTGAAGGCCCTTTGTATGCCCTGGCAAGCGGGAAGACGGTGCTGACCTGAGGCAAGGGAAAGCTTCCCTACTGCATGTACCTCCACCAGGGCATCTCCATACCCCTGCTTCCCACCCGCTGGCCAAGGTGTGACAGAAAGGAACCTACTGTCTCCTGATCTGAGCTGCCCCCCAGAAACCCCTCGGCTGTCACCGCTGCGAACGACGTGAGTGACAAGGCAGCGCCGTGCCTGTGTGCAATGAAGCTGACTGTCACCTGATGTCACGCACGGCACCAGGCACGCCGCTGGCAGCCCAACAAGGAATGAATACAAATGTCATCCAATGATGGTCGGGACAGCCAGCCCACCCCTCAGCAAATTGCTAGGAAAACCTCGCGGCAAACATTTCCCGGAGAATGATTTCTTTCTCTCTGCAGAGTGAACACAGCTCTGCCAGTATGTTCCTGTGCTGACCCTAGAGACCGGCTTTCACGGGAAGAGAGGACGGCAGCTTGTTCTCCAGGCTCTTTGGGCTCCCAGCTGAGTCCACGGCTGAAGTGATTTATAGAGACAGGGCCAAGGCCAGGAATCTGAGGCTTTTCAAGAGTTGCCCATTTCCCAAAAGAGTGCGGCTTTAATTTGTTGCCTGCCTGACTTCTGCTTGAGACTCAGCCTAGAACAAGATTGCCAGTGATTTGGGAAATCAGTGCTACTTCCCCTTGCGGTTTTGGTGGTGTAGATGTCTGTCCATGGAGAATCAGACTGACACTTCCAGGCGTGTTACACACAGTCACCAAACAACCGAAATACGGAAGCAGCTTACAGAAACAAAATGTATCAAGTCTGGAGTTTGCATCTACAAGGGGCAGCCTCTCAGCACTGGGGGACAGCACCCAGCACACACTGGTTTACTGGGATTATAACAGGAGTACTGAGATCCCACCACTGCACAGTGATCAAAAACATTCTAGTTTAGTTGTTCACCAACGATTCTCTCCTGACATACAGCCCTGGTCTGTCAGCCCCTGAAATCCGTTTGCCAAGGTAGATGACGGGAAAGGATTAACTCTTGGGTGCAACTACCCAGGCCACAGCAGTCATTGCGAAGAGCTCCAGGCAGCATGCTGAAGATAGGAGCAAGCAGGTTTCCTCTGAGCAGGAGAGAGGACTGAGTCCTAGAGTGAGTGCACTTGGGGAATGGCTCAGATTAGCGATGTCCAGAAGACGGCAGGGAAAAGCCTGTGTGTGTGATCTCCACTGCAAGCAGAGCACGCTGTTCCCACCAGGCTGGAGGGACCATCCTGGGAGAGGTGATGCTTAACACCTCTCACAGGCAGACTCATCTGCAGCTTGCAGCCCTCTGAGCCCTGTGCATCTCCTCCTTCCTGCACACCTGGAATAGTCCCATCAACATTTAACAGAGATGCAGAAAAGCCAGCACAGCTGGGTTTGCACAATGTGACAGCACATCTTTCTCTACATCTATCACTGCACTCTACACGGTGCCTACATGCAGAGAAGGCTGAGTACAAGGGCCAGGGCACTGATTTATCCTTGGGCAGAAGATACAAGAGCCTTGCAGTTTCTATGCATCTCTCCTCATCCTGGGGAGGTAATGGAAAGATTTTGACCAAAACCTTTCATTTACCTTTCAAAAGTGCCACCCTAACACTGTGAACATATACTTTACAGACAACCATGAGGATTTCAAGTCCTCTCAGCAAGAAAGCCCAGCACCAGACACACTTCAAACACTACAGTAAAAACCATGGGAAGCTATCTGGCGGAGGACCACAGCTCAGCTTGACTGTCCCTAGCACACAGGGCACATAGAATGTTTCAGAAGCTGCTGCAAGAACCCCAGGGGCCCTGAAGGATCAGACACCCTGCACCAAAGTCAACAGGAGCACGGCGCTGCCAGGATTCCTGGTGATCCCTTTGGGGCAGCTCACCCAAGTGAGCTGGACAGCTGGCAAGTACACGTGCTCTAGGTAGAGGAGCATCACCCCAGCTCCCAGCTTGACCAAGTGCCTTCCTACACACTCAGCTCTCCCTCGGAGGGATTTATCGGGTTTGTTTTATTTTTCAAAAAAAAAAAAAAAGAAAAAAAAAAGAAAAAGTCCAAAACTTTCTAACTGCAAGCAAATTAAAAGCCCTTATTTATTTATCTCGAGTGTTAGCACACTTCTAGGGTTGGTACTTCCAGGCATTTTGAACCGACTTCCCCTCCTGTCAGGCGGCCACTCGGCTCCTGCCCTTCACCTCCCCTGGCCCCGGGCGCGGGGCAGCGCGGGCGCTCCCCCATCCCCGCGCCCCCTCCATCCCCCGCGGGGTCGCGACGTGCGGAGCCCGGGCCGGGCGGCCCGAGCGCTGTCCCGCGGCGGAGCGGCCGGCGGTGCCCGGCAGGTACCTGCTTGCGCAGCGCCTCGAAGGCGGCGCTGATGGTGTGGACGCGGGTCCTCTCCCGGGCGTTGGCCAGCAGCCGCCGCGTCTGCTGCAGCGCTTTGATCTCCGGCGAGACGCCGGACGCCTCGCCCGGCCGCGGGCGCGGGGAAGCGGCGGGCGGCGGCGGCGGGGCGGCGGGGAAGGCGCCGGCGGCGGCGGCGGGGCCGAGCGCGGCGCTGCGCGGCTCCCAGGCGGGCGGCGGAGCGGCGGCGGCGGTAGCGGGGGCAGGGGGGGCGCGGAGCCCGGTCCGCCGCCCGCTCAACACTTTGAGCTCCACGCGGAAACTTTTGCAGCCGCCGTGCTTCCGCCGCAGCCGCCGCAGCCCCCCGAGCTCGGCGGGGCAGAGGCGCGGCCAGGGCTCGCCCTCGGCCAGCGGCGCGCTCCGCATGGCGCGGGGCGCTGCGCGGCGAGGCTCAGCCGCGGCCGCTCCGCCGCTGCTGCGCTGCTGCCGATGCTGCCGATGCTGCTGCTGCTGCTGCTGCCGCCGCCCCGCTGCCGCTGCCGCCCATCTGCGCCCGGCTCCGTCCGTCCGTCCTCCGAGCCGCAGCTCCGCGCAGCTCCGCGCAGCTCCCCGCAGCCTGCCTCCCGCCGCCGGCAGCCGGCCGCCGCGCAGATGAGCGGCTTTAAAGAAACAGGAAGGCTGGCCTTTTTTTTTTTTTTTTTTTTTTTTTTTTTTTTTCTTCCCAAAACAGCTGTGCTGCCAATCTCCTTTGTTCATCCCCCCACACCCCCCCTTCCCTTCCCTCCCCTCCCACCCCACTCCCACTTTCTTCTTTAATCTCGCTCTTCCATGCGATGGAAGAGAAATCCTGCCCCCCGGAGACTCGCCGCGACCCGCCGTGTGCGCTTCTCCCCCAGCCCCCTGCCTTGCTTCCCCAGGGAAATCCGTGATTTGCTTTGGTTTCCAACCCACTTCATTCCGCTTCTCCTTCCTTATCACTGATTTTCCGCATCGAGACCCTCAGCTGCGAGGCAAGGGGTGCCTGACTTCACGTTGCCTTCCTGAAGGTGCCGGTGAGCACAGCCGGCGCCCCGGCAGGATGGGAAACTGGGGGAGCTCCGGCGCTTCTCACACATCCCTCTTGCCGCCCGCGGAATCCTTCGGTTGCTGCTCCGCCACCGACTCGGACCCACTAGGAAGAATTATTCCTCAGCAACAGTCTGCCCTGTTTTTCACAGGGCTCACAAGGCAGTCTGCACTCGTGGGTTACTGCTACCAGCTTCAGGCTGCCTTCTGCCGGTACCCCAAAACCCCTCAATTCCCCTTACCTCAGCCTCGGGGGAATCAGGGCCAGGGGTCTCTGCAGAATGAGCAGACAGAGTCTGAGGGAGGGATGGAGAGGTGCAGTTCACAGAGCTGCGGCACAGCTGAGAATAAACTGCATTTACCAGAATTGTAGGAAAATTTTGGGGTGGAAGGGACTTCAGGAGATCCTTTGTAATTTTAAAAAATATCTCTGTTATTTAGGCACCTAGCTTTTCAAGTCATCTAAACCCCTTAGACATTAAGCTGCACTGAGAATCAATGGGATGCAAGCTGTTAGATGCTTGAACCCATAGCAGTGAAAGGGATGTTGGTTCCTTACCCTCCTCCTCCTCCTCTTCCTCCCATGGTATGTCAACCTAGCAGCTATCAGCACTGTGTGGGGTGAGGAGAAGGAGCTTCTATTGACCTTGTGTTGGTCTGTGATGCAAGACAAGCTCTGCCTGATGACTAATTTCCTCTTGCTACTGTGGCCAGGCTGCCCCTGAGCAAACACCGAAAGGGTTTCTTCATGTGGAGAAAGCGGAGGTTGTGGAGAAAGTACTGGAGAAGACGTGCTGAGTGCTGGTTCAGCACCGTATCTGTGACAGCGGTGCTGCCTCCTCCATTACATCCCGTGTCCCAAGTGTCACTATGGGTTGATTTTCCTTCGCAGAAGGACTTTAGGTGAGTCAGTTGAACTCAGAAGTGCCTGACTTCCCAGTGTGGGTAGCAGCACCCCCCTGCCTTGTGGTGGTGCTGGCAAACCGCCCTGATATCCTCAGCTAGAGCCTGTGAATTATTGCTGCTAATGCTAGGGCATGCCTTAATGCCTATTTTCTCCATCTTTCATCTTAGTTCCTCTAACTCTCAAAGTTGAGAGTCAGCGAAGGGATTTTCAGTTGACCGTGTTTCTCCCAAGCATCCCAGTGAGTGGCAGTAGCACCAGCCCCTCCAGTAGGGTCTATCCTTCAGTTGGAGCCTCTGCTAAAAATTTGGTGGCTCTTCTCACAAGAGGAGGACCTTGGCCCAAAATTGCAGTCTCAGCCATTAAATTCTGCCTCCCTAAAATCCCTTCACTCTTCCAGCTTGACTCAATGAACCAAATCCATTTGGGCAGTAAACAGTTGAAGGCCATTAAAACCAAAGGCATTTGCAGCCATTTTCACCATTTTCCCCCTCATTTTGCCCCTAAGACATGTTTATCTTCTCAGTGCTGCTTATGTAGCTGCTCCCTTGGCGGTTGCTGCGTTACGGAGTGCTTCCAAGAAGAAACTTAAACCTGAGTGTCCCTAGTCACATAACCCCCTGTCAGACCTTCCCCTTCTCTCCTTTTAGGATCCCCGTGGCTATGGGTATCACAGGATGGCCGGGGTGGCCCAGCTCAGGGCTGAGTCACGATGGGCCCGTCCCTGAGCGTGACGCACGGCGCGGTGCACCCACGGAGGGGACAGCAGTGACAGCTGCCAGCCCAGACACACAGAGACTCTGTGAGCACAAACCTGCTCCCACCGTGCTCACCTTCCTTTGCTCCCACAGTTAAAGCAGGGCAAACTTTGTAGGGACTCTCTGTCACCACCCAGTTAGGTTGCTCCTGTTTGCCTTAATGGAGATTGAAACTGAAACTTGCTTGGGACTAGACTGAAGGGAGAGAGGTTTAAACTGCAGTGAAAGAGTTTGTGCAACCTTTTCTACCAGCTTAAGTTGTTTAGATGAGGGTTTAATCTTGCAATCAGGCAAAGGTGAGTTTCCTGAAGAGCAAACCCATCCCTTCAGTGCATGCCATGGTAGCCCCAGAGCCACTGGTGTGCCTTCCACGTGCAATGGAGACGGGCAGTGATGCCTGAGCTCACCACCTGGCCTCTGAAAAACAAAGCATTGTGGCTGTGCTGGCATTGGAATTTGGGCTGGGAGCATGTGTGTCCTCGTGCAATGCCACCAGAGAAACATGGCTTTTGGGAGCAAGTGCAAAACAATCTGCACAGAGCTGACTGCTCTGTGCCACATGGATGCAGCAGCTCGTTCTGCTGCCTAGTGCCTGCATGCCAAAATGATGGCATGAGGTGAACACCAGATGGAGGGAATCACCTGCAGAATGACAGGACTATGGCTATGACTTGTAGTGAAACTTTTGACCTCTCCTTTCTGCAGACCACATTATGTCAGCCTTGTCTGCACTCAGAGCAGTCCTGCCATGTGCTGTGGGTTCATTTATTTTACAGATATGGGTAAGGCAGGTGCTTGCAGGACATAGACACACTCCAGGGAAGGCTTCATCTCTGAGAGCCAAGCTAATGGTGCCACTGCCCTATTCCATTTGCTGTACTCCCATTTCCTCCCTTTGCCAGCTCTGAGGTTCTCTGTGCTTGGCTGAGCAAAGCTAGCCCAGCCCAGCCCTGTTTGATATGCCTGGCATTTTTTGATGTGGTGATGTGGCCATGGTTGCACACTGGTGAGGTGGGAAAGGGGCTTCTCCTCTGTTTTGAGACCAACTAAGAAAATAACTTCAGCATAAGAACCAGCACCACTTGTCATGCGACTCTGCTATCTCTGCCTTTAAGGGTAGATAAATGACAAGAAGAAATGGCCTCAGATTATACAGGGTAGATTTATGTTGGATGTTAAAAAAATTGTTGTGACCAAAAGGGTTGTCAGGCATTGGAAATAAGGAAATAAACCCTTTGCCAGTCCCCTGTGAAGAACATAAGAGTCCTGGGTAAAAATCACTGGAGAAATGTTAACCTCTGCTCCCAGCATCCTCTGCCACTGAGCTACTCAGTCATGGTTGAAGTGCACCCATACAGGGTCAAACTCTCTCTCACTGTACCACCATACCTAAATCAGACTCTGCCTTCTGCCAGTGGGTGACACACCCTGTTGGGTGGCTCTCTGCCCTGATAAAAACTAACGTGGTTGTAAGAAATTACTGTGAAATCCCAAAATGTGTCTTCAGACAATATTTTTTTTTTTAATAAATAAAGAGTAAGGAAAAGGAAACAGAAATAATCTACTGGTGGCAAGAATTAGTTGTAGGTGCAGTTGGGATGTTTGAAAGGCTTGTCTTCACAGCCCAGGAAAGAAATGCTGCAGGTGGGTTCCAGGGAGATGTCTCCAAAGCAGTGCCCAAGGGATGGGACATTTTCCCCAGGAAAGCACCCTGAACATTTCTGAAAGATGATTCACCTGGTGACAGCTTTGCACTTCTGAAAAGCAGAACATACTCCAAACCCAGTGAAAACCCAGAGCTCTGCACTTGTTAAAAGGAACATCTACTCTCATGTACAGTTTCCAAAATCCTCCTTAGGCAAGAGGAATTATTTTAAAATGCTGTTGAAGAGCAAAACCAGAAGTCTGATCGCAAGTGGCATGTTGAGGATATCAATATAAAGTTGAATCATCAAAGTGAGACTAGATGCAGCCTTAATCCTTCTTCTTCTAAAGTTTAAATATGTGTCATGCAGTCTGACATTATCATTAATAGTCTGACAGCGTGTGCGCAGCCGTCTTCCTCAGGAGGTTTCAGAGTTTCAGTATGTGTTTCAAAATGTACAAGATATAAGAAAGAAGAAAGGGAGAACTTTTCTTTTTGCAGTAAAAATTCCATCGGGAGCACATTCTTTTATTGTGAAGTATTTAAATAACAACCAAAAAAAAAAAAAAAAAAGAAAGAAAGAAGGAAAGAAAGCATAAACTTGGCAGGCTGAAAGTTTTGTCCAGTCCTTAAGCTGAGGATTAAAAAAAAAAAAAAAAGGCAAAGAAATAGACAAAAATGTCTCTGGTTTTATAGTTCTATGAAAAATACATCTTAAAAAGAAGCAATTTGAGAATATAGGCAGGCGAGGAGAGGAAAAGTGAGGAAAGGCTGCTGAAACACATGTCTATTATTAGTGAAGAGAAGTGAAATTTCTCCAGCATTAGGAAAAGCCTGTAGCATTTCTAAATACCCATAAAATGTACAGTGGGAGCTGTAAGAACCCGTAAAGTTGGTGGTCTCTCATCAGTGGGTTTTATAAAAGCTATTTGGAGACTTGGCAAGTGTGCATGGGCAGGATTGTGAGAGTCCTCTTGGATAATATGAAACTGAGGAAGGATAGTGAAATGAGATAGGAAATGAGAATTATTCACACACAATGTAAATTGGAGTCATATCTGTCATTGACTTTAAATTGTATTTCTTTTTAAATGCTTATTTTTTACTTGATGCAGTCAATATGCATTTAGAGGAAAAAAAGTGCTTATGACAGTCTGCAGCTTAATTTTATTCTCTTAGCCTGAATGATGAGATTTGAGTCTCCTCTCCTCTCCTCTCCTCTCCTCTCCTCTCCTCTCCTCTCCTCTCCTCTCCTCTCCTCTCCTCTCCTCTCCTCTCCTCTCCTCTCCTCTCCTCTCCTCTCCTCTCCTCTCCTCTCCTCTCCTCTCCTCTCCTCTCCTCTCCTCTCCTCTCCTCTCCTCTCCTCTCCTCTCCTCTCCTCTCCTCTCCTCTCCTCTCCTCTCCTCTCCTCTCCTCTCCTCTCCTCTCCTCTCCTCTCCTCTCCTCTCCTCTCCTCTCCTCTCCTCTCCTCTCCTCTCCTCTCCTCTCCTCTCCTCTCCTCTCCTCTCCTCTCCTCTCCTCTCCTCTCCTCTCCTCTCCTCCCTCTCCTCTCCTCTCCTCTCCTCTCCTCTCCTCTCCTCTCCTCTCCTCTCCTCTCCTCTCTCTCTCCTCTCCTCCTCCTCTCCTCTCCTCTCCTCTCCTCTCCTCTCCTCTCCTCTCCTCTCCTCTCCTCTCCTCTCCTCTCCTCTCCTCTCCTCTCCTCTCCTCTCCTCTCCTCTCCTCTCCTCTCCTCTCCTCTCCTCTCCTCTCCTCTCCTCTCCTCTCCTCTCCTCTCCTCTCCTCTCCTCTCCTCTCCTCTCCTCTCCTCTCCTCTCCTCTCCTCTCCTCTCCTCTCCTCTCCTCTCCTCTCCTCTCCTCTCCTCTCCTCTCCTCTCCTCTCCTCTCCTCTCCTCTCCTCTCCTCTCCTCT